TAACAATGCCTTCGCCGGGAATCGAACCGCGGACATCTGGAATACGCGCTCAGCGTGCAAACCACCACACCAAGAAGGTGGGAGAATATCTTATAGGTTGAACTACAATTGTTCAGCAATCTTATTTGCTCTGCCGCTGGTGGGATGAACTCTTCCTATTCTTTTCATAAGTTAGATTATTTGAATAAGGCAAAAGCCATGAGGGTGGGCTATGAAAAGGTAGGCCTTCGTGAAGGACTTTCTGAGGGAAACTGGGTCGTATTTACTTTACATATGGAGAATCAACCATGCAGACAGCCCTTTAGCTGATTACTGGGTGTTTGACCATGGTCCAAACTCCCAGTAATCAGCGGTTTTAACCACTCGGCCACTGATGAGCTCTGCTTTTTTCGCGAGTAGTGTCCCAAAATATTTTTAGTATTTTGATGTTATCGATTCTCTCGGTCATTTCAAATCGATGGACAGCCGTTTTTCTTTGTAAGCGTGTATCCGAGTGACTATTTTTGGAAGACTTTTTATTAGGGTATTAAGTACTTTATGCATACGCTATTTTTCAAAATGTTCGTAGAATGAACCTTCATATGTGCATGGCGTGTTAGATGCTAATTCATATATATCATCAATATGGAACACATTCCATACTACGGGTCTCATTACCAGAAGGCCCGAATAAGGCGTTTCTAGTGCCACAACATTTGCAGAGTCTCAAAATGTGTGTGTTATGTATACTATGAGGTATTTTTATTCTTCTGTATCAATAATTTAATTTTATGTTAATATTCTTGGACTGGCAATGCATGTGGAAAAATTTAGAATTCGTTAATGAATATGGCGTTATATAAGGTCGTGATAAATGGCCCTATTCTTTTCAGTAAAGTTGTTATGTTGCACAAGTTATTTTATTGTGATTGCAAATAAATTTTGGAGTCAGAAATTGTTAGGTAGCCATTTTCTTGAAACTCGCTGTAACAACGTGGTACTGAATGCGTAACTCCATAGAAAGATGACGGCTAGAGAATTCTATCATGATCTCGCTACTGCGTCTGAAAAAAAAAACAGTTTCTAAACAAACTGCATACAGATGACTGGGTGAGAAAACCTTTAAGTCCGGCGACCTGCGGTTTGTGCCCTTTCAAAAGATCGCAGAAGGTAGTTTGTCTTTTGTGGTTCCAGGCTTACTATTCTTAGATACCGCAATATCCGGACTGTGTTCCCTTGAGTGATGAGTCAAAATTCAGTATACAGAGAAATTCTCGATTATGAGTCTTTCTTTAAATGGGAAGGACATGGGGCTCACTATTGCTCCCTTAATAATGACTTAATAATGATGGGAGCGGAATCCTCGTATAGGGAGCCACCATGCTGGATGGCTATACACCTTAACTTCGATGCAGGCACTGTCAGCCGTAATTTTATCTAGCGAGTTTCGTAAACTTTTTCTGAGGGTTTTTTTTTTTTTTTTTTTTTTTCTCGAGAAGCTATTTGAGAAGATTTTAATTTTTTGGATGACTTTTAATTTTTTTAGGCAAGGCCAGACAGAGATCACCTGATCGACGATTTTCTGGAAAAAGAAGGTATTGACCACACGGTATGGCCTGCGAAATCTCCGAACCTTAATCCTACATAGAACATTTAGAACTTTCTAGAATCAACCCTATGATACAAACACTATCATAGAACTCCTAAAACATTAAAATACTCGCTTTTAGATGAGTGGGATTTGTAGCTAAAAACTATGATCAACAACCTCATTTACAGATTGCCAGTCTCTTGTGAGGCATATAAAAATGTAAAATGTAAAATGTTATAAAAATGTTGAGAGAAACCTAACTCTTTATTATCCTCACCATGCATGAAATATCAGGTGTCAATATTGTGACATTTTTCTGTGTTATTTGCATATAGTGAAATATTTATCTTTTGTTCATTTTGATGTGTTATCATTGCCATGTCATAAAAGTGGGCACCTGTGTACAAAATTGCAATACAATAAACCATTTATGTTTCGTTATGTCCCTTTTTGTTTTAAAACCTTAACTTTAGGACCAGTATAAACATATAATAGGGGATTGCAAAAGCATTTTTTTTTTGATTTTTAGTAACAACTTTCTTTTCATTCTTTTCTTTGTAAATGATACGAAAATGTGGAGAACGCATAGATTATTTACTAATCGACTGTTGATGCCACCGATGAAACTTTTGATCAACTAACAAGCTCTAAAACAGGTTAAGCTCTGGATGAGTCGAAATTTATATCTAAATTTTTCGCAGTGCAGGTCATCAGCAGATCATTGCCTTAATCCAAAGGATTTTATTTGTCAGCTATAGTAAATGTTCGCAAAATCTTATCTGAAAAATGCACAAAATTTTTAATAAAATGAATTGTATATCAATTGAATACAGCTCTATTTTGGAATGATAAGTCCTTTATTTTACAGTCAAATCTTTTCTCAAAATGCATAACTTGGCTAAACTAAAACTGTCCAGAAACTATTCCTGCAATATTATTTCCAAAAATAAAATATTAAGATGTTAATGTCAGGTAAGATGTCAATGTAAAATGTTATGATGTTAAATGATGAAAGTTAAGATGAAAATTTCGGAAGGAAGTAGTGAACATTTCTTGCATATTAAATAAAACCTAATGAATAGCTTAATTACTTTTAGCACGTATTGTGTGAACAGCTCTCATTCCGTAAGACGTTGTATTCATATTAGCACCATATAAGAAGACCGTAATGTATTTCATATCACCAAGACAATGTTTTCATGTCAAGCCAATTTGAAAACAGCAGTTTAAAATGCTACTGAGATAGCCTATTTAACTTATAACTTACATATTATTGCAGTCTCATGTATTATGAAAGTGGTGTAAGCAAAATCACACATACAGTTTTAAAGCGTATCGCTTATTAATTTTAAATGTCACAAAACGATTCGTATTATGTAATATATTAGTAATTATGTTAATAACATTAATGAAAAAGTTGTTTTATACATTCAGCATCCTCTACGCCTCTTCGTTATTATCCAGTGTTTAAATAAAACTCTTTCTTAAAGTAATGAATCCAGAATTAAAACTAAATTTTACTAATTTTGGATTATATGATCACTGAAACTTTCCCATAGATGCTAGTTTCAATTTCATCCTACCTCTTGATTTAAGATTGTTAATTGCACTTATGATTTTCATATAATACCATATTGTGTATTTTAATTCCCATTAAAAGATTATATTAAATAAGATTGAACTAGAGTTATTATTTTTTTAAGATATCATTTTTGCGTCTCGATTAAGTGAATGACAGAACTAAGTTATCAATTATATACACTCCGGAATTCAACTCCCAATTTGTATGAATCAACTTTTAACTTTACAGAACATTCTAATTCTTTATATTCAATAATATATGATCGACTGAGTACCTATCGAGTGACTTTTGTAAAGCTGAGAATAAAAAGTCTTCCAAAATATTTAATGGGATACACACTTACAAAGAAAAACGGTTATCCATCGATTTATGAATTTTATCTGTTTTAGAATTTATTGTATTATAACAAAGCATACTAAGCCTAACTTCCTAAGGGAAGGCATTCCGTCATGAAAGAAGTTCTAATAGAAACTGAATCAGATATAGATTTCATAAGCTGAAACAATGAAAATGGCCATTGCTGGTATTCGAACTGGGTTTGTAGAGATATTAGGTAATTTTTGGAAGCATGAAAGATTGAAAAATTAGCAGCGCCTTCGCCGGGAATCGAACCGCGGACCTCTGGAATACGCACATAGCGTGCAGGCCACCATACGAAGCATGCAAGAAGGTGGGAGAAATACCTCATATACTCCTCCTTTGAAGGGCGACTGGTTTTTAGGGGACCCAATCGCAAATCCTGGGCGTGGAGAACTATCATCCACCACCATTTTTATTTCGGCGCTTAGAGGCATTAGGTAATTTTGAGACCGGAGAGATGGAAAATTAACAATGCCTTCGCGGGAATCGAACCGCGGGACATCCTGGAATACGCGCTCAGGCAAACCACCACACCAAGAAGGTGGGAGAAATATCTTATAGGTTGAACTACAATTGTTCAGCAATCTTATTTGCTCTGCCGCTGGTGGGATGAACTCTTCCTATTCTTTTCATAAGTTAGATTATTTGAATAAGGCAAAGCCATGAGGGTGGGCTATGAAAAGGTAGGCCTTCGTGAAGGACTTTCTGAGGGAAACTGGGTCGTATTTACTTTACATATGGAGAATCAACCATGCAGACAGCCCTTTAGCTGATTACTGGGAGTTTGACCATGGTCCAAACTCCCAGTAATCAGCGGTTTTAACCACTCGGCCACTGATGAGCTCTGCTTTTTTCGCGAGTAGTGTCCCAAAATATTTTTAGTATTTTAATGTTATCGATTCTCTCGGTCATTTCAAATCGATGGACAGCCGTTTTTCTTTGTAAGCGTGTATCCGAGTGACTATTTTGGAAGACTTTTTATTAGGGTATTAAGTACTTTATGCATACGCTATTTTTTAAACTTTCCTCAAGTTATAGATAAGAACTTCTCTAACGCTAGAAACGAAATTTCTCAACTAATTAATAGTGTATTGATTGATATCAAATTAAATGTTAAAAGAAGCAGATTTCATAATCTCTTAAAAAGATTCAAACAACAAAAACTCAGATATATTTCTCTCCTAAATACACTCACTTTTCCTGTAGATTCATTACTGGAAATCTTTCTCAAAATGCAATAATTGCATTTATTTTAAACGCTCCTAGGAATCTCTTCCCGGGATAAAAATTTATTATATTTTTCTGGTATCTGCTAATAAAGCTAAGATAATAATTATCAATTAGCGTTTTCTTTTCTCCCCATAATTTAATAAGAACACTAAAGCGTTCAGTATTTTGTTTGGCTATTTTTTTCCTTTCTTTTGGAACGGATTTTCTTTCATTCATAAGCAATGAATTTATCTGTTTTTCTCTTCTTCCTTTTCTTAGGATTTCCAGTTATTCTTCCTCAACTTCGGATGACACTTCGGAAACTCAAAGCACCATTGGCAAGCAATTTCGTCGCCCACTGGGACCTTCGACTTCCCTTGACCCACCTAGCCTCCTACGACTCACTTCCGAATGTGTGCAGCCTCGACCACAGCTCACTCGTTGGCATACGGTGGCCACTCCGCATTGCCAAACCGTTCTTGGAACAGTTAATACAGACAGGTATACTGTATTTATTGCTATGCGTAACTATTTTTCATGTAATGCGTCATTTAGATTACACTGAGTTGTTTGAATACTGTTGTATGTTTCATCCACTGAAGAAGTGAATATGATAAAAGTCACGAAACAGATCCAATCTTTTATCTCATTATGACACGATTATTTACTATAGGTAAACCCAACAAAATAGGACCATTCACCGGTTTCAGTGATATTAGTTAATTTGCAGAGGAAATATTAAATGATTACCGTAAACGTTTAGACCTAATATCATTGGGCTATAGTTTCATTATTGGTTCACTCGGAGATTATTCCTGGTTGGAGGACCCACAAAGTTTCCATCGTGCTTGTACTCAGATTCATCCTACCGTCATCAATCATGTGTTAATAAATTGTAATATCGACTAGCTCAACATATTATAAACAACAGGTATTATAGTAACAGACTCTACAAATACATATATGGTGATGTATTGTTATGAATTTTGTACGTATGTAAAAACATTTTAGTCAAATTCTGTGTGAAACTGTAGTATCTTTTGTAGTCTGAAGAGCCAAGTGCTGTTGAAAAATTAAGCTGTTGCAAGTCAATTTAACATTGAGTTAAATGGCTATAACGCTAACTGGAGAGAGATCGCCGAGCTGGGGATGGTTTTGGCGACTAATTTTGTTCGCTAGATTTGGCAAGAAATCTCCAAAGTTGCCAAACTTGACGACCATTTGGCGACATTTTAGTCCGGTCACTGTATAATTAATTGACACTGTAACTGAATAACTGCAATAAATCCCTGTATGTAACTGGGACAGTGTCCGGCCTTTACATTTAACTCTAACCTCATATGTCTTCCAGTAATTTACAAAATAGTGGGCATTAAAGGTTTCTCGGCAGCCGGGGGGGGGAAACTACAAGCCCGGGGTATATAAGGTCGAAAAAAGCATTAGTTCCTCAGATTGTCATAACTGCCAACACTTCCATCACTCTTCTGACACCTGCAAATTAAAGCCCAGGTGTGTTAAATGCGCTGGGCCGCACAAAACAGTAGACTGTTCTACGATAAGAATTAAAACTGTTCGTTGCTGCTATTGCAATCAAACTGGACACGCCGCAAATTTTTGCGTGTGCCCAAAATTCCCTGTGCCTAATGTAAATAATGTGAATATGCAATCTAGTAATGGTAAAGCGAATCACAGCCTAATTGGCAATACTTTGTAAAGAAAACTACCTCCGTAGCTAAACCGAAATCATATTCTGATGTTACCAAAAACTCTCATGTCAAGAGCTGTATTTTTAAGCAGTTTAATTAAGAGAATAAGTTCATTTGGTTTGTAATTTAAATCAGCATTCAAAACAAAGACACACTTCAAAATAGAATGAACAACATTCTGTTTATATTACTCTGGAATTTCTACAGGAGTCGATAAGAAACAGAACAATGGCTACAGATATAATTTATTATTACAATTTCGCAATTTATTTTAACGGATAGTTTATTATTACAATTTTGCAATTTATTTTAACCTATAATTTATTATTACAATTTCGCAATTTATTTTAACGGATAATTTAACAATGTTTATATATATTAGATCTTGTGTAGTTATTTTACATACAATTGGGGATAAAGCTGCCTCTAAATATTATTACTTCAATCTGCTATCACCACTATTATTCCAGTCATTTTTTTCTTCTTGTTTGTATTTTAGCTGGGAAATTTTACTTTATTTTTATGATTTGTGACAGTATCTTTCCCTTTTCCTGTGGAAACAAAGTCATATGTTATTAAGACATAGCTCAGTTAATCGAAAGGTGATTGTAAATCAGAGTTTTCTGATATGCAGAGCAAAAATGAGATTTTAGAAGATTCATTGTTTCAACCTTTATCTATTATGAAAATGAAATGAGACTATGTAGGAATAAGGAATGAAATGAGACTATTGTAATTGAAATGAATGAGACTATTGAGGAAATGTATCAGTTATGTTTTAAAGTTTAACAAATATTCTGTTATGTATAATCGAAAAAAATGCAAATATGATTATTTTATATCTATTGAAATTAATGCGAAAAAAACTGGCGTTTCAATTTTCTATATAAATTAAAGTGGTAATAAATTCTGAAAATTCTTTTCGTACTTATTTTAAGTTGTTCATATTAATATGTCATTTTAGATATATCTATGTATATTTCCTAAAATGTAAATACAGAAAGTCCCATGCGCTAAAAGCAATTTCTTTTTTTTTCTTAGACGTATTTTCGGGAATTTATTACAAGAATATAATTTAAATCTTATCTGCAAAATGAAATACTTTGCGTTTAAAACCAATTCCTTTAATACCTAAATATGTATTAAATATATCTTGGAACATAAATCTGTGTTACTCATGGTCTGTCTATGTTCTTTCTCGTAAATGTTCTCAGAGAAATAAAATATTAAAATTACTTTATCACTTCTTTGAAGCGAAAGCTTTTCTAAGAGGTTGTTTGTTATTATTTAAATAAATCGAATTGTCACATTTAAAAGAAAACAGATTATACACAGAATTATCGCTGTTTTAGTATTTTTGAGTTAAATTTTTTGAAATCATTCCATTTTAAAATTTAAGATGACACTTTTCTTTTTTTAAACAAGCATCAAGCTTGAAATTTACAGAATGTTTTTTCTTCTCAGTTCTTAATTAGAATTTCTAGAGATACGTTTCAGATTAGACCCTCTCTAAACGTAGAAACTTACAAATAAAGAATTATATATAGTATAGTGAAAGGATATTCCACTTTAAGATCAATTGTCATCTTAACTATTCAATAAAAATATAATTAATATATCTATTTTTCATTTGCACAAAATATAGTGAATAAAGAATGTTGCTTATATAATTATAATAAGTATAAATCATTTTCTTTGACTGTGTTTGATACTTCATTTCTTTATTTTAAATAATTGGTTCCCATATAAAATAACTGGTTAGTTTTAAGCTAATTTTTTATTTCATGCAGAGATTCAGATGAAGAGGAACCTCACAATCCACCTTGCTTACATGGGCGATTGTGGTTTTCACTGCTCTACAAAGCTGAAAACAATCGTTTAGAGGTCACATTGCATAAAGCCAAATATTTACCAGGTATGCAATGCACCCGTATAATTCTCATTTACTGACAAAATTTGCTGTATTTCGATAAATTTATATAGCTGTTGAAGGAACGCAGTGATCTTATTAGTATTGTTATGTTAGTGAATTTTAAGCAAAGTATGTCTTATTAAATTATCCTCCATTCTGCTGCGTCATTTCTTTAAAGTATTAATATCTTGTTTTCATACTCTTATACTGAGTACGATATATACGCCCCCTAATAACATATTGCTCCACTTTTACCTTTAATCGCGGCCAATATTTTTCTGGAAGTGAACTCAACAAGATGATGGTATCCTTTCTGAAAAATTTTAGCTACTGAAATATTAGCAGCTCTAATTTTATTGAAATTTTATAATGCTTATTTCAAGCTTTGAAGCTATCTTTTCCGCTTTTGGCCCACAAATGCTGGAAAGGGCTAAAATCAGAAGAATAAACTAGGCTCGTAAGCAATATGAACTGCGAATCTTGCTCTTTAAATCAGTTTCAAATCAGTCTTGCGCGGCGACAAGCTGAAAGTAACTATTTGCATCAGCGTAAGCAATCACAAACCGTTATCAACAATGCTATCAAAGTAAACTGTGCTGCTGAAAACATACATATCAAATTATAGTACAGGAATTAGGAGATTTTCGTACATATCAAGAGATTCACTGTATGCAGCATATAAAAGGGCCATTGTATACAGAAAATGCAGCTTGTTTTACTCGCAAGGGTTTATTTTAAAACTGCATAATTTATAACTGCAAGTTAATAAAAATGCCATCCAATCTTGTCTCATTTTTTCAATCATGCGCATAGAAACTAATACATCAGAATTCTGCCCATTATGCAGGCACTTCTTGATACAGAAGTTTGAGCATTCCTTTTTTTTTTCATCTAATACCACATCTGCTTGGCTTATTTCAGCAACATTTTACAGTATACGGATCATCTGTTAAAACTATATAATGCACGAGCTAAGCTCCTTAAAATCTAACAAAACGCTTTTACTTCTGCAAGCAAATCCTTCTAAAGTACTTTGGTGTAATTCGGTATTTCTAAAGTACTTTGGTGTACTTTGGTATAATTTTTTAATAAAAAGAACAAACATTTTAGAAACAAAAATTATATGTATGGTGAATTGATTTTCTTTTTTTTACGAGAAGCATACTTTTAACGCAGAATATCCCTACAGCAAGAATTTAAATTTCTATATTCACTTGAACAGTAATTGTTTGCTCATAGAACATACTTTAAATCTAAAAATAGAAAATAAGTAAAATATCGCAGTTGAAAATGTTCCTTATTAAAAATATCGATCATTAATTGGTATACATAATTACTAAATTAAAAGTTTAAAAAGTGCTGCTCTGTTTACAAATGTATTATGTTTCTAGTATGACGTCGGACATGAGTGGTCATGTTTATACAAAAAAGTTCTTTAATGATAAAAGTTTGGAGCTGTAAAGAAACTGAGTGAATTCTGTGGCGATGATAAATTTTTAGTCTAAATTTGATATTGTAATCAACTCCGTATTTTTAAGATGGGATTAAGATGGACTCAGATTAATTTTATCTTATTTAGGTTTAACACATATACCATGAAAGTAAGTAACTGCAATTCACGTTTTTAGTTGGATAAATTAAAATATTTAAACTAAATAAGTGAGCTAAGAAAAAATAATTCGACAAATATTTTAATTTCACCGCATTTGCTTTGAGTAACTCCAAGGAAGACTAAATAAATGCAGTAATGAAACAATATCTTGTGTAGCATTAAAGCTTATAAGAAGGTAACTGAGAAACTAAAGTATGCAATTCTTTTTGTCGCCTTTAATCGGAAAGAATGCTATTCAGCGTTAATAATTAAATTTCTCTTTAAGATGAAGGGAAAAAACTCAAACAATGGATTTGGTTCAATTGGTTTCAATATTCCAAACTTTAAATCAGGTGAAAGCACAGTGGATGGGATCTTATTGCATTTGTATTTTCCTGAAAAATATTTTCTTAAACCAAGAAAATGTTGTTAATTAGTTCTCGTTCACAAATGTGTTAGAAAAATTAGCGATTGAATACCTCAAAGGTAATTATTCGAAATTAAAAAGATGAGTTTCGTTTAATGTTTGCTACTTTGCTATTTCAAAAGCTTCAAGGGCGCTTTTCAATGCGTTGTAGTTTGAATTCTCAAAACATCTATTTATAATAAAGGTATTATAAAAACAGCTAGAAACTTGCATCAAAATTTTGATGGCGTAATATTTTTCCTGAATCTTAACCAGTTTAACATTTACAAATTGGTAAATTCTAAATTTTTTTAATCAGCGAAAATGAACTTTAAATATAATTGTTTAAAATAATTACGTATAAGAATAGAATATATGTAAGACAAGGAATCTCTTGCACTCTTTTATTAAAAATCATTTTATGTGTTTCTGGTCATAGAACTGAAAATTATTTTTTAATCTTTAATACTTAATCGTTTGTAGAATTAAATGCAATAATGATAAGCCTAGAGTCCCTTTAATATGCTTTTTCACAATCCCAAGCGGTAGTTCCACTGTTTTTATTTTTACCTTTTCATTCTTTTTAAATTAATATTTTTGTTATCGATTTTTCTAATTGTTTTTATTCTACATTTTTACTTCCTAACTGAAATTTAAATCTTTTTCCAAAATATTTTCATCCATTTTGTAGTTATGATATTTTCATTTTAATATTCTTGTGCCAGCACTCTTTTTTAGGCGTAGCTTAATACTCATTTCTGGGTAATCACTGTTCTTTATTCTGTGTCATTCATACTTCTTTCCAGAAATAAAATAACTTCTGAAAGATATGACCAGAAGAAATATAAGACCTCCTAGAAGTATAATATACAGAAGCGGAACCTTCCTCTAACTGGTTCCTCTCCTAAACGAAGCAAAGCTACCAGCACTGTTTTTATCTCAGAATCATAAAATGTTACGGCTACATGGTGAAAAGGATAGCTGATGCAATTGTTTCCTAACCACTGAGACCGGAAACATTTCATTCAGATTAATGCTGAGAGAAACGCATTTTTCCGAAATACGTAGCTAAATCTGATTAGGTCATTAGGCTCCATATTGAATGCCTAATCATTAACGAGAGAGCTGATTCTATTTAGAATGATAACGATCGCAATATTCTTCAGTCTAGTTTCTAAGATACCATGCTTCAACATTAGTCTACCCCCAAAGACCGCTTTGATGAATTGGTAACGGCTTGAGTTACATCTTGTTGCTTTTCTTACTAGAATTCAGTAACATTTTTCAGTCTGTTCTGTCAGATTACTATCAATAGATAACAATATTTTGTTTCTAGATGCGTTTGTTTTCTATATTAGCGTTACTGAGCCAGCTCCAGAGCCAATGGAGTATTCCAAAATGATACTACTATCTCTTACTATTTCGATCTGAGAACAGTCAGAATTATACTCAGAATATTGGTAAATATTCATTTATGTTGTGTTAAATTTTTGCTAATTTATTTTTCTTACTTAGTGCTTACGTTAGTTGGTGAACATATGAAAAGAAAGATTTTAAGTAGAATTCATATACTTTAATGGAAATAATAATTCAAAACCTTACTAAATATTATATGTTTAAAATCATCATTCTATACCTTCCAAATCGTTTTTCGCCTGAGTTTACATGACGATCAGAAAACTGTCTCTTAATTTGAGTTAATATATTGATTATGAAATTATCTGAAACCCTGTCCTCAAATGTTGCAAAATATATTATTAACATTTTTTTTAATAATACTCTTACAAAATTTGCCATTTTTCTTAGATTTATATATTTTATTACAGGCCGAGGATTAATCAATTCACCGAGAGATCCATTTGTGAAGATATATTTGCTACCAGACGAAGAGAATTACCATCAGTCAAAAATTAGGAAAAGGACTTTGTCGCCTAAATTCAACGAGACGTATGCTTTCGATGTATGTTGAATTGTTTTCTAAGTCTTTCTTAGTTTTTCTTTCACTCTTATAACGAGGAGAGTTAATGAGGTCACGCCAAGCATTGTTTAAACTTATGATCACTTAAAGCAGAAACATTAACAATTATCATAAAATTTCATTAATATGGGTTCAATTCTCAGTTGTTTCTCTCATTTATCATAAAATTCTTCACACTGCCAAAATCAAAATGGATTACATCAACATACTGGAGAGAATCAAATAATACATGCCACTGTTTTTGATCATTTTTATTTGAAGAATCCTAACAAATAATTTCGAGAATTAAAAATGGTTATAAATCAATATTTTTTCTTGTGAAATAGTTAAAGAAAATAATAAATAACTATAAAACTCAAATATAAAATTGTTAGATATAAGTATACGTTCTAGCATTTTCACAAATTTTTATAAATGATTCAGAATTAAATACACCACAAAATTTCCTTTAAAACTGTATAGTGACAAATGCATCTTTATACATATTTCTTTAGCAGATAACATCACGAATCAACATGCATCCTACATTTTTAAAAGTAGTTCTTCACAAAAAGAAATACTTTTTTTATAAAGCGGAAACTTTTCATTCTGATTTTTGTTATCATTTTTTAGAAAAACGGCAGACACAAAGACGAAATATAATTGGCTATTTTCCAAAAGCGATTTCAGTTTCTAACGTTCAGCAGAATAGTTTTGTTTCGTTCTAAGCCTGTGGCATTGATTACGAAACAAAGTTATTTTGCTTATTGTTGGGATTTTTCAAACTATTTTTTAAGAACGAGCTTCTGGTTCAAAAAGCTAAGACTAGCTTTCTGGTTTTGAAATACAAAGCGAATAATTAGTGTTTAAACGAAATGTATGCCGATATTTTTCTTCGTGGAATAGATTTTTTTCAGAACATATATTATTATGGTTTTACTAGAAGTTAATATTAGAAAATCTGTTGGTATTGTTATTTTTTAGTTGTGTTCACACTTATTTCGCTCACCTTTAAACCACTGTCACATCAAAAGGCGGGCTTAAATAAACGCCATGTTTTGATTCAAGGATTTCGTTATATACCAACTTTGAAGGGTAATTAGAAAATCTATTGTGTAAAACTTCAGTGATCCAAAATTATATTTATCTTTATTATTATTGTCATTATTTTCTTTCTTAGAATAGTAAAATTAAGCATTTGCTAATTTTTTTCCTTTTGTTGATTTTTTTCGTTGATTTCAATAATACAAAAGAATTTTTTTTATGCTTGTTTATATAATTGACTACAGATTATTATTTCATATTTATGAAAAGTAATGGCTCTGTTTAATTTTAGTTGTTAAAAATAAAAAGATTCGATAACAAATGGTGGCAACACGTCTATAGTTCTGAAAAGATTTTACTGTCATGCGTTTTACTGTCTCTCGATATAATTGTCTGCCATGTCCACCATTTTCTGCCAATTTACTTGACGACATTGTACATCATCAACACGGCAGTTCCTATTGACTCTCTCAATGATCACACTAAAACAAGGATAATCTCCTCGCTATTGTTTTAATAAATCTTTGGCAGTGGATCTTTTATTTGGGAGAAGGCATAACAGTCACACATATTGAGTTGAGTACTGCGGGTAGTTTAGTACTATCATTGCCAGCGTCACAGAAAATCCGTGGCAATGTTTGTAATATAACGCCGTATATTGTTGTGTAGATGATGGGATTTATCACCTGAGATGCTATTTGCATCCAAAGCTGAAATCGACGGGGGAGAGGGTTCTGATACACCCAACCTATTCACCTAATATGAGTTACTGTTACTTTGATCTCTTCGCCGAAGTGAAAGAACCACTCTGAGACATTCATTGTAACAGTAGAGTTATCCATGCTTTACGGCACTTGCTGCAAGACATCAATAGAAGCGATTTCTCTGTCGTTATTTAAACTAATTTTAATTTCCGTTTTCTGATGAAGTAAACAAAATAGTAGAAGTGGCAGAAATATTTAACATAAATAACGTGCTTATTAAAGCAAACATTACAACGGTTACTTGTAATTCCAGAGAATTTTTGCCTTCTGAGAAGGTTCTTGTCTTGAAAAGATGGTATCTAATACCACTGTTTTCACATTATATTCACAGAAACGCCAGTCTCTTTTAGAGGTGATCGTGTACGGAGGGTAGTCGCATTACAGGCTCACTACATATGTAAAACAGTACAATTTTTTATTTGCATATATCTTCGCTTTGTGTTCAAGATTCTTGTCTCTCCTAGCCTTCATTAATTTTACTTAGTTGAGTAATTTGTCAATTCAAAGCGGTACTCTGCTGACTTATTTTATACCTTACCCAGATATTAAGTAATCTTTGAAAATACAGAATTAATAAAAAAGCAAATTTAAAAAGTATTAAGCATATAATTGAGATATATGGGTTACAAGGACTAAAAAAATTACATTATAAATTAAGATTCCATTGCACCTTGTACGGACTAATAGCAAATAACACAAATTATAATTTCAGTAACAAAATGTTCATTAAAGCATTCTGCTCTCTTTTTCATTTCAATATTCATTAAAGAATTCTGCTGTCTTGAGACTTAATACTAAAGCCTAGTAATTTAAAATAAACTTACAGTTATCAGGAAGATCTCAACTCTAATCCTATGCTATTAATCAACTGATACTGCTCTGCATCTATCTCTATAACATTTAAATAAATTCACATAGTTCTGGAGCAAGATTGAATTTGAGAGAAGGAGCATAGAATGTAAAAAATTTGAAGCTATAATGGGTTATGCATACAAGTATAATTTTCCATTTTTAAAATAAAAAATTAACAGTTATGTAAAGGAAGAACAATTAATTGTAATATTAGAAATTTTTACTGGATTCAGATGAAATACTGTAATGAAGGAATTTTTCCTACTACAACCAGTTCTACTTTTTCCCCAAAGTTAATTTAGCAGGATAAATCGAATTCCGTTTTTACATGGTTTATTTTGAACTAACACGTTTCAAAAGACGACCTTTAAAAAGTTCGATTTAAATACAGCCGAGTCATACATTTATTTCAGAGAAAGAAACATGAAAAATGTTCACTGTCCTCGTCGGGATTCGAACTCTAGACCGCTCGATTGCTAGCCGGACATACTTCCAATTACGCCACGAAAAGCAGGAGTAATGAAGGAGAGAAATCCCTTACAAATTTAGCTCTTAGAAATAACTTAAAAAGAGGTTTCTTGGATTTTACATTTATAGTAAATATTTTATTTTAATGGAATATTTTTAAGTAATTTTGGCCAACGTAACTTCACAGCTGCATAACAAGCTTTCTCTATTTTACACTACAAAATGTTTTCTTTTGTTTACTAAATTCTTAAATATCTCAGCTTAAGATAGTTAAGCAAACCTAATTACACTGATGATTATCAAATGTATTAAAATTAGTTTGATTAGTACAAAAATGTATTTATACAAATATTTGCAATGACTACTTAACTTTAAATTAACACCGCAGATTTACAAGGAATTTTCCATTTTATCTTCACTATGTTGGCACTTTTACACGTGTTTAAATTTAGAAACATTTGCATATTTCAAGATTTAAAAAATAATTGCTTAATTAAATAATGTTGAAAGAGAGATAAAAAAAAGACTTAAATATGATTAATAAGAAAAGACTGTAACATTTGTATTGAGCTTTTTTATGTAGCTTGTGTGCTATTTAGCTTTCCTTTTTTTCTTTTTTTAAACCTATTTTTAATGTGAATTCAGAATAAAGTATGTTTCCTTTTCGTCATTTCACTGATTTGCCCCTCTGGCAGAGTAAACTGGCTTTTTCTTACTACTCAGTTTAACTGTATTAACAGCAGCCGCTATGAGCAAGTTAAAAGTTCTGCCTTTTACCGAGTAAAGTATTTATACAGCTTGTTGACATTGAAACTGAGGAAGAAATTGCGTAGTTTCAAATTGCGAATACTTTCTTTTTTTATAGGAAAGAGAATATTATTGAGCCTAAACTTGGACGAGGTGTCTTCCATTCAATATTGACTTCTAATAATATCTGGAGTTAAACAATTTATTAATGGGAAAATCCAAGCATTCATCAAAAAACAATTATCTTAAGAAAAGACCGAAAATTACAAAATAATCTGTTTTTGAGATGATTGTGCGCATATAAATGATGGCTATATTAAATGAGAAGCAGTATACTATAAATGAAAACTGGGAACGTTTATAATTCCTGGATGTAAAATGTCATTGATTTCATTATGTTTTGCACATATGGTCAGTAGATAAAAACTTACTATTATTTTATTTTCTATGAATGTTTTTATATTGGTCACAAATACAACTTAAATTATTTTTTAGATCCGCTAAGTAAAATTTTCGTATAGTGACTTAACGGAAACGCTAGGGGTAAAAAATCACATTTAATTATTAGACTCAAATACCAATTATCTCAAAGTTTTAAAACCAGCTTTTGAATTATTCATTTTTATTATGAAAACAAACGATTTTAAAATATTACATGCAAAAATAATAAAAATGACTTCATCTCTCGTGGAGGAAGTTATCGGGGATCTGAAGTAACCACAGAATTTTGAAAAGTTTCAAACCTTTTGATTAAAAAAGAATTTGAACTTAAATGCACGTCTCGTGCTTGACAAGATCAGCCACCATTTGTGGCGATGTAACTTTAAGTAAAAGTCAGTTTTAAAAGTTAAGCTAAGTCTAGTAGTGAATACACAACTGATTTAACGCGAAGTCGCCTCATTACTTCTTACCGGAGTAACAATTCAAATATCAGCAGCAATAACGCAAAGCCGAAGACTTACAATCTTGTCATAGCTGGCGAACATAGTAATGTAGCCTCTAGAAGCAGAAAAACGCTCTTTTACTTAAATACTCTCAAAATGCTTTACAATTCTTCTGAGAAAACTGAAAAGGGAAGTTATAGTAAAGATCTAAATCAGCGATTCTCTACGCAAAAGCAAAATAGGT